TCCTGCTGGAGAAGTTTCTGAACTAAAACCACAGGACACAAATGCTCAACATGAGTTGTCTAAGGCTCAGAAGATGGGAGCAGGAAGGAGAACTGGGTGAATCTCAGGGTGAATCTCAACCCCATTGTTACCGTTTTATTATAAAAATTTATCAGAAAAGTATGAAGCCCCTGGTGAGGCAGCTCTGCCCATAAGAGGGTGTGGAATATGAATGGGGCCATGACAGCTGCTGGGCCTTTGGGAGCAGCATTGTTTGAAGTGTTCTGCAAGGAAGATGCAGGGCAAAGTAATGCTGGGTTAAGTGAGTTGTTACCTGGTAAGGCTGCCATCACTGGCATCCTGGGCAGTCATTTTTCTGAAGGAAACCAATAGCCTTTATCCTGATGATGGAAGCTTTCTTTTCTAATTTCAATTCTTCCCAGTGATGCTGATGTCCAAACATTAAAAAGCCAAATGGACATTGATTGAGACATGGTCATCACCTTTCTCTATGCAGATGGGTATTATTCCTGACAATTAAACCAAAAGTGTAAGAACAAGCCAAAAAACCTTGTCTTGCAGAGTTTTGCAAAGAGGGCCCTGAACCCTTGGGTGAGTGTGGGCTGTTGATGGCAAATTGAAATGGAAAGTGATGGTCACAGAGCTCCTTGGGTTTCCTTTCCTGCAAATCCCAAGGCAGTGTGGATTGGAAGAATGCAGTGCTGATTAGAGCTGGTTTATGAAGGGACTCAGCACCTCAGTGACTAAACTGGTTGCACTGAACCCAATCTCTGAAGAGTTGGTACAAATGCTGTCACTTATGCCACTGATGAGGGTGCATTTGGGAACCTTTGTGTCTTTTTTTGCATCTGTTGGTCAAGTCTTGAAATGTTGAATCCAAACTGGGAGCTGAGAAGTTCTTTCCAGACTGTTCATTTCAAAGAAGCATGTAACCTTTCTTCCTTTTAGAATTAGAAGAATCTCCCTTAACTGTGAAGAGTGACATGGCTACTATTGTCAAGGTTATGCAGCTGCCAGATTCAGGCCTTGAAATTCGGGACAGGATGTGGTTAAAAATTACCATCTCCAATGCAGTGATAGGTAAGCAGATCAAAGGAATGCTGGAGAGAAAAAAAACAATGCTTTTTGGAAATGAGCTGAAGAAACTCTGTATATGAACTATTTTTTGTCCTGTCTATGTCCTCTTGACTTGGTGTTTGTGAATAACTCTGACAGGAAATAATTATTATCTCTTGTTTGAGCCTGGACAGCCAAAAATACTGCAGGGTTCTCATGCCCACACACAGCTGGTCCTTAACCCTTGCTTGTTGTACCTCAGGTTTTCTATGTAACTACTTGTGGGTCTAAAATCTACTTCAGCAGAGCAACAATCCTTGTCATTCAAGTTCCAGAGAGCCACACAACCTTAAGAAAGCATCTTAATTACATAAAAAATTACCACAGCTAGTCTGCCTTTGATTCTGACTGTCCTGTGACCTGAACTGCACTAACATTTAGTCAATCTAGGCTGTAGTTGTGTTTACTGAGATGAGGGTTGGAACTTGGGTCTTTTGACAATGTAACATCTGTCTTTAGAGGAAGGTGACTCCCCCAGTCTCTTCTGTTCTGTAAATCCATGTCATTTTTATTCCTGCAACTCAGAAGAAGTTGGAAAGTGTAACTAACATTCAACTAGATGGAAGATAATTCTTTGCTTTCTTTATTGATGTTTGGTGATAACTAATTTAGCAGTTGGGCTGAGGCGTGAACAGAACTTTAAGCTCTTTGCATCAAGATTGGTACATGCTCATGTTTGTGTTCGGTTCCTGGCACAGGAATGCTGCTGGGCTGTGTGATGAACAAATGGAGATTAAAAAACCAAAAGAGATCAGTTTGGCTCAGATGATGTCGTGTCTCCTTCTCCTGTTCTCATTTCAGGAGCAGATGTGGTTGACTGGCTTTACACACATGTGGAAGGCTTCAAAGACCGGCGGGAGGCGAGGAAGTACGCCAGCAGCATGCTGAAACATGGCTACCTCAGGCACACAGTGAACAAGATCACCTTCTCAGAGCAGTGCTATTATGTCTTTGGAGACCTCTGTGGCAGTAAGTTCTCCCTCTGGCAAGGACTGAGCTCCATGGGTGTTGTCTCTCCTGTGCTCCCAGAGTGCACAGAGGGGTGTCTTGTAGGATTTCACAAGTGGGTGTTTCAGGATGGGACATTATTCTGAAGTTGCAGGACAAGGGGTTGACAATTCCTGTCAGACCAAGCAATTAGACCACTTGGGAGAGAAGGATGAACTGATCCAATAGGGCATTGCACCGAGGCTCAAGAAAGCAGGATTGATTTCTTGAACACTCTGTGATTCTGTGATTTCTGGTGGTGCCGCCAGACTTCCTGCTTGTCAGGTACATTGGTGCTCAGTGGTAAATTCTGAAGTCTGCCCTCTTGTGTGTGATGCTTTTGAGTGAACTCTGGAGGCCGAGTCCCTCCAGTCCCTCCCCACATGGGGTGCTTTGTCAGCTGTTACTGAAATGCTTTTTCCCTCTTTTCCAGATATGGCTGCACTGAATCTTAACAATGGTTCTAGCGGAGCCTCAGATCAGGACACCCTTGCTCCACTTCCACATCCTGCTGCCCCATGGCCCTTAGGCCAAGGATACCCATATCAGTATCCTCTGCCCCCTCCGTGTTTTCCACCAGCATACCAAGACCCAGGCTTTAGCTATGGTAGTGGCAGTGCAGGGAGCCAGCAAAGTGAAGGTAAGGTGGTTCAGCTGGTATTTTCTCCCACAGCTGTCATTGTCCCTGACCATTTGCTTGAGTTCCCTCCTACTGTCTGTGCTCCTGTCCTGTGGTTTTGTATGCTTCCTGCATGGATTTGGTGCCACCTGTTTGTGTGTGGGATGGAGTGGGTTAGCCTTTCAGCTCTGTATGGAAACTGCCAGTGGTGCTGGAACACCAGCAGCAGAGCAGAACAGCAGCTCTGCTGGTGATCATTAGGCTGTAGTTCTGCACCCTCTGCAGAATGCCAGTGGGGAACTGGAGCCAAGCTGCTTGTCATGTCCACAGTGGTGTGGGCAGCTGTACTTTTCCTCCAGCACCACTTGATAAACTGCTGCTTAGATAATGCTGATCAGGCCAACATGACTAACTCAATTGTCCACCCTGTTAAAACAGATAAACTATCACCCCCCTGTTTAGAGGTCAGAGCTGTTGCCAGCAGTGGGGCTGCAGTTGCTTGATAGCGTGAGAAATCAGGCCATTTTGTTGCTGATGGAGCAGGGATTAGAACCAAGGTGCTCTTGGCTTTCACTCCAGCACTCAATACAAAAGGAAAATCCCTCTTTGCTCTTGTGAGACAAGTGTGAGGTGGCCAGCCAGATGGTTTACAGGGCTGAAACACTGCTCACAGGGAGGAGTGTCTCTTCTGTAATCTAGGACAGGGGCAAAAAAAGACAATATTGCATGGATTAAAAACCTGACCTCCTCCTTTTCTGCCCTAGGATAATTCTGTGGTTCATATTTAAACCTTGGTAAATGAAAATTACCTATTTTTTTGGCTGTACAGATTTTTTTTTAATCACTTCCAGAGTGAGTTTTGCTTTTGGAAATGCTGCCAGTAAAGAAAGGGTGAGGTTTCTCTGTGTTTTTTTGGTGATTATCCAATAACTTGGAAGTAACTTCTTCCCATTTACCACAGCCAGTTAGATTTTGCAAAAAAGAATTTCCTAACAGGAACTTTGCTCATAACATTTTAGCACTACTGCTTCCCACCTTATCTCCAAATAAGTGTGTGTGAGGAAGCTCACAAGTGATATCCAGAGGCTTTAGAACTGCAAGCTGATTGTACTGGAAAGAATGTGATTCTTTTTTTTTGGCAGCTGTTTCTGTGGGCAGTGGAATATTAGATCTCTGCTGCTGGAATGGGAAAGGGATGGTATTTTATCCATGCAACCTGTGCTAGTGGCTGAAGAAAACCTTCTGAAAGGTGCCAAGGTGTTTAATTTTGAAGGGTTTCAACACTTGCCTTGTTCTTGGAAACTACACTTACGTGTTGTTTCTTGTTTTGTAACTGTTATTCCCTTGTTTTGTTCTGAGCAAGCATTAGACTGAAGGATTCATAGAGGAATGGCTGACTCTAGGGGATTGGTAAGCTTTAAATGCCTCCATAATAATAATGAATTCACAGCATGATCATTTAGACTCTTGTGACCCAAATGTTTAGCTGTATTTTTTTATTATTATTTTATTTTTATTTTTTCTTTTGAATTGTCTTGGACCCTCAACCTGTCTCAATGCTCAGTAGTCCAGCAGTGTGGCATTAGCACATCAGCCTGGCCCCTGGGTGACTGCACTGCAGCAGCTGCAGAGAGTGGCACCAGGATGGGAAAACACTGTTGTGGCAATGCTGTGAGTGCAGGTGGTGTAGGCACTTGGAATGCAGATTCTTTAAGTCCATTTTATGACACTTATTTTTAGAGTTGGCCTTAGATGGAAACAAACACTCCAAGACAGTCCCTACCTGCCCAGAGGGTGACACTCTTGTTAAATTGCATTTAAGGTCAAGGCTTAGAAGGACTTTCTGATTGTTCCATGACAGGGTTCAAAGGCATGTCAGGGAGAGAGTGAACCTCAGCATGAGCAGAGGAGAACAGCCATGCTGCTGAGCTTTCTTAGATGGACTACTGGAATGGTAGATGGTTTCTCTGTTTTCTTTCTGCCACTTAATCAGCTTGGAGGGCAGCTGCAGGAAGCCAGGTTCTTCTGAGATGAGAAGTCTGCATTAACCACTTGACTTCTTGGAGTCTTGGCAGATCAGGTAGAGCTGCTGCTCCTGATACACTGAAGACTGGAGACATGATGGATTGCCACAAGGCAGTCTCAGTCCTGCTGCTTTTGGAGATCAAGATCATTAACACTTGCTTTTAGTGCAGCTTTCTTGCTCCCCTACATGGTCTTTACTCAGCTACAAACTATGGAACTGGCAATGAATTCTTAGGTATGGGGGAGCTTGCATTAAGGAGTAATGACTGGGTAAGGTTTGCAGCATTTGGGTGGGTGGCAACAGAATGCATCAGGAGATAGAGGAGAGGCTTATTAGCTGTGAAAAGGTTAAAATTAAACAGCAGTTTTCTTCCACTGTGAACCATGTGCCACCCTGGAGTGCTTACAGGGAGAGAGCATCTTGTTCTTTGGAGCAAAGGCTGTAACAGTTAGCCTGCTACCAAGTCTTTTCTCCTCTCTTGTCTTTACAAGACTGCTGTGAAACATTTGAAGATGGAGCTCAGGGAACAAACACCTTACCTCTTCAAAAGGTTCACCTTAAGGAATCTTTGTAGTTGTTGGTGGAGGCAGCAGAACCCAAGTTAATGTCTCCATTTACAGACAGAAGAAAAGAGAGGCACAAAGTACGACAGTAGTTTTCCCAGGGCAGAGCTGGTAGGGATGACAGTCAACAAACACCCCTTTGGAGTCCCAGGCTCAGAATACTAACTTCAAGTCCAGTTATTTTGTATCCTGTGTATTCCATCCATCCCCAACTTTTCCTGCGCTCTGCAGGGGAATTCCCACCTTCCCACCACACACACCACGCTGGTTTTCCTGTCCCCTGTCTGCTCTGAACAGCAGCTGGAGCAGACAGAAGGCCATGGTCATCTGTAGTTCAAGAAAGGAACAGCTCAGAATCATTCTGGTTTTTCCTTTTCAGTGACCCCAGTGGCTCATTCAGACTCAAAAGCTGGTCCCCAGTTCTGCTGGCTGGGGATCCTTTTTGAGAAGACAATTTTGCACTAAGATGGCCTGAAGTTAATGAGATATTCTGTGGGTTGGTTGAGGTTTAAAAAATAATAATTAGCTTGGAAATGTCTCCTGACATCATCTTAGCCTATGTCTCATGGTGACAGAGCAAGACCTTCAGCTTTCATGTAAAATCAGTCCCAAAGTTTAGGAAGCCTTCTGTGTAGCAGCAGCTCAGCTCACTCAGCAGCAGCCCTTTGTTTTTCCAAGTTGATGTAGTGGCCTCTGCTGGGGACATCCTGCTTGTTCCTGGGTCATCCTAGAGCAGCTCAACAGTTCTTGAAGAATCCTCCAACAATAGAACCCTGTAGTGATGGATTTTAAAAGAATCTACCCACTGAAGCCAACAAAAAAGACATCAGTTAACCTTGGGTGATTTGGTCCTGGGTGTGAGTGTGCCCAGTGTGCCCAGGGGTGACAGAGAAGGGAAATCTTTGTGAAGGTTGCCAGGACAGAGACAGTTACAATTAGATGGGCCTCGTTTGCTAGAGTTGAAACCCAGACACAAATCCAGACCAGCTGCTGCTTTCACTGCACAAGCTCTAAGGTGTCTCCGTGTCCCTGTGCATGGCACAGCCTTGTCACTTCTGTCCTGCCCATTGTCCCTGCTCCCCCCCACCAGCCACCGCCGGCGC